GGGGATGCCGGCAGGGGAGATGCCACAAGGGGAAGGGAAGGGGTCAGTGGGAGAACAGCCAGGGCTGCCCCAGGGCTGCGGGAAGGAGCAGGGGCTGCCGAGGCTGCCCCGGGGGCAGGGAGAGGGGCCTCGGCTGCAGTTCCCATGGGGCTTGGAGGGGCGGCAGAGGGGGCAGCTTTCACAGGAGAAGCGAGAGCTGCGGGGGGAGAACCAGGGCTCACAGGGGGCGTGAGGGGGGCCACCATCACTGCGGCAGGAGCAGCAGCCAGAGCAGGAGACACTGGTGCTGGGAGTCCTGGAGACACTGGGCTAACTGGGGCAGGCCCTGGAGATCCTGGGGCTGCAAAACCCATCGGGGACTGCGGAGCTGGGGCTGGAGGAGGGAAAGTGGTAACTGGGACTTGCAGAGCTGGAGCAGGGAGCTGGGGGGGAACAGAAAACACGGGGATCGCCGCAGCTGGGACCACAGGTGGGGAAACGGGGGCCGGGGGGCCAGCAGGGGCAGGCAGAGCCGCGGCAGGGCTAGGCGGCTCCGCTGGGAGAGCCTGGCCTGCAGGGCCCGGAGACGGAGTCAGAGGTGGGGAATGAGCAGCATGAAGAACAGCTAAAGGAGAGAAACAGAGTGAAACGATGAGAGAAGGGAGAGAGGGAGGGGAGGCCAGGAGAAGGCAGCCTGCCCAGCACAGCCGGCCCCACCCTGGCCCTGGCCTTCCCCCCAGCCTTCGTGCCCAGCTTCTAGATCAGCAGACGAACGTCCGCCTGACCTGCCAGGTCCAGCGCAGACCACGACATTCACCTGCCTCTAGAAACCGGCATTGATTTTACAGAGAACGCTGTGCGGGCGTGTGAGCTAGCTGATGGGCGCAAGTAGCAGAAGAAAAAACCCGATGCCAGGATCAGTACTGCCACCCCAGGTTTCCCTGTTTAGAGCAGCTGTGGCTGAAACCCTGGCATGGCAGGCAGTGGCACCTGAAACGCCAGGAGGTCCCAGCGGGCCAGGCACAGCAGGAACCTGACGGGGCCGGCACAGGGGCCAGGCTTCGCCGCCAGCTCTGCGCTCAGCTCTTCCCTACCAAAGGGGTTGCCACAACCTTTGTGGAGCCCTGGAGGCCCAGCCAGACCCCCAGCGCTGCTCCCGAGCCTGGGAAATCACATCCCAGGCTGGCGGGAGCGGGGGGTGACGAGGACCCACCCAAGGATAGGAAGGAAAAGTCAAATTTAACACATTGGCATGCATAACCGTTCCAGGAGTGCTCTGGCAGTTGTGCTCTGGCGGAGGGCAGCCCCCTCCCTCCAGCCCCAGTGTGACACAGGCAAACCCTCCCAGCAGGCAGGCACCCTTCAGGGACGAGGACGCCAGGCACAGGTGGTGGCGTGGCTCGCTCACACCGAGGGGACGGGACCCCGAGTCCTGGCTCCCGTGCAGTGACCTGCGCTCCCCTGTGCAAGCTGTTAGGGTTAATGTAACTGCAACCACCCAGAACGGCAAACTCTGGTTAATGCGGCACACGAGGTGTTAACGAGGAGGGTCCGGAGTACCTGGCGCTGCAACAGGAGCAGTAACAGGGGCTGTGGGAGGAAGGGCAGCTGGAGCTGAATGGGCGAGAACAACAGTTTATTAAGACAAGTCCCACCGACCGAGGGTGCTCGCCATCCAGCTCCCCTGGTGCACACCCACCTCCAGCCAGCTCCAAGAGAGCCCAGCTATTCCGAACGCCAACAATCAAAGGGAAGCGCTCAGGGAAGAGACGCGGTGAGAGTCAGGGAGGGCAGTACTGGTCTGACCAGCGTAACCGGCACTGTGGCCGGTCAGGAGAGCAGAACCGGCCCAGCCACACACCCGCCCCTCCGCAGCTCCAGCCCCACGCACGGCATCAACCCCGAACCCAGAGGCAGCACGTCCCGGCATGTCTGCTGGCAGGGACGGCGAGGGGAGCACTGCTGGGCCGGCTGCCAAGGAGAAGCCACCAACAGCTGTGGAGCCCAAATCACAGTCCGGTTCGCAGAGACCGTGTCACGTCAAGGGAGCAACAGATCTCCTTCTGCTTCCGCGCAGGGCACTGGCTCTCACCGCTGCAGCCACATCCAGCTCTGCATGGGTCACCCACCAACCCACAACAGGGCCAGCCCTGCCTCTGCATCTGCTGCCCCTGCCCAACCTCTCCCACACTGCGATTAGGGCTAGGTCACAGGCTCAAGTCCTCGCCTCCCTACGTTCTGGAGCAGTAACACGTGTGTGGGACTCAGAGCAGCCTCCTCTGGGGGTAACGTCCCTTTCTCTGCCCCAAGAACAGTGGCCCAGAAGATGCTTCTAACGCCCCATTTCCCCAACCTACCCCAAAATGCAGGGTGGTGGGAGGAGACAGGCACTGGCCTGGAGCTGGGCAGCTGCTCAACCAGCACTGGACATCGGTGCCTTGTGCCAACGGGCCAGCGTGTGCCAGGACACTTCCTGCTCCAGGGAACCTACTGGCACCTCAAGAAGGAGCAACAACCCCTGCCAAGAGCTGAGCTGGTCCCGAGCCCTTCACAGAACAGGCTGCAGAAACAACAGCCTTCTCTGGAAAGCTCGTTTACCCCTGCCAGCTCTCCCTGTTCCTTCTCAATCTCCACCAACACCCCACCAGCACCGTTTGAGGACGTTCCTGCGATAAGCAATCCACCACTTCTCCACTGACAGCCCCACCTCTCCTGTGGCCACCTCCGCAAACAAAGGCGAGACGCAGGACTCTCAAAGAGCATGGGTAATTTTTAAGGGATGCTTAAACCAACTGGGCCGCAGAGTCTCCCGCGGCCTGGCTGCGCACACCTGAAAGCTGAAGCCCTGTACTGCTGGATTAGAGATCACTCTGCCCAATCTCACAAGCTCTCCATGGACCAGCCAACCTCCGAAGAATATGATGAACGTCAAAGGAAACTGCCTGACGACTCCCACCCACGGGGCAATTGCTAACCCTGCGCCAGCACCCCCAGCTCCAGCTCTGCTTGTGCTGCCGGATCTCAGAACAGCCGGCTCAGCAGAGGGGATAAACACGACAGCACTCGCACGCACCCTTTGCCTCCACCCTCTGCCTGCAGACCTACCTGACGGCTCCCGCAAGCCCCCGCAGCTGCTCCGGCCCCTGCAGCTGCCAGTGTCGCTGCCCCGGGGGCCCCCCATGTTCCCCCGGAGCCGGGGGAGCAGTTACTGTAACAGCATTTGCTGCTCAGCACATGCTGCCCCGGGTCAGCTTCTACCAACCTACATGCGCTCCATGAAGTCATCAGAGACTCAAGAGCAGCAGAGCAGAGCTTTGGGAGGAGAAAAGGTGCGAGTTGTCGCCCAAGATGAAGAGAAAAGCCGTCCCGGGAAGAGGGGGGGATGCTGGGAAGTGGCCCCACCGCAGGAATCCCAGCTACGCCTGGAGAGAGACCAAAAGTACAGCAGCTCCCCGGGACCTGACAGCACAGCTGTCACACCAACAGCCATCACTCAGCCCCACCAGGCATAGAGGGAGACTTCCTTCCCAGGGAAGCTTTCTGCCAGCACCTCCCAACTGTCGGGAAGCCCCGATTTCCCTCATGGTCCCCAAATCCAACGTGCCATTCACTGTCGTGCACCTCGTGGCTCCCCCACGCTGGGTGACAACGCCTGGTCACGTATTCCTGCAGCGCGTCCCTGCGCCTCGGGGCAGAGACGCAGCAAACACGGGCAGAACATTCGCCGACTGGACCGCAGCACCTGGGACACCTTCATGGGAGTCAGGCAGCGCAACAGGCAGCGCAACAGGCAGCGCAGGCTGGGGACCGGCCCCTGCCCCACGGCGGGCACAGGAGCCCACACTTGCCTGCCTGGGCCTTTCTGAGCTGCCCCGAGTTGCGGCACCGGCCCCCCAGGACGGCATGAGGCCGGAGCAGCAACACTCCCCGGCCCCAGTGTCACTTTCCGACACGGAGCCATGCATCATCTTCCCAAACCCGACCAATTCCAGAGCACCAAGGGATTAACGTTTGTACGTGTCCCTGACTGTCCCAGTCACTGCACGGCCATACCCCGACCTGGCTACGGCCGTTTTCCCCCCCGCTCCCACTGCTCCAACACTCAAATCCATAACGGGAACGTACAAACAAGGTGCAGAGTCTGGCTGACGTAACGCTCTCCCCAGTAGTTTGGGACGCAAGAAGCTACAAACCACATGACTTTAGTCATGTTTCCTGTAGAGATAACTAATATGTTTTTGGGTGGGCAACTACAGAACAAATACAGATTCCTTTTGGCCGCAGCACAATGATACGAAGGCAGAGGAGAAAGGCACTCAGGCCACGGAGCAGATGCCCCAAACGCCCCCGGGATAAAGCGGACAAGACTCGAGCTGGCATCAGGCAGCACCCACGGCCATCGGGTCCTCGCCCACCGAGCGATCCCCAGCATGCCAGGGCCGAGCATGCCCCAGTACACCCTCACCCCGGAGGGCAGCGGCGCTCCCCACTCCTGCCCCACTGCTCCTCTTTCACCCCGAGAACCCGCCTGAACTCACCCGTCGGGCAGGTGAAACCCGGTCATCCACCAACGTCCAACATTCCCCCCTAAAAACGACTGAGCGCCCAGAGGCTGCGGGGACGTTCCCCACCGTCAGCCCCCGAAGCCATGACCCCCCCCCCCCGCCCCCCCCCTCTC